GGGCTACTCGCTTGGCTGCGGAGAGGGAAAAACACACAAATCAATCAGTTTTTACGGTTTATTATACAATAAAATACTTACACTGCAAGGGCTTGTCAAGTGGAGGCTCCTGACTGGCTCTCAAGGTGGCTCCTGACTGCCCCGATTCACCGAGTTTCCGGGGTTTAAATATTCTTTACAAAATGCTGAGAGCATTAGAATTAAACCACCGGTAGAAGAATCGGGAACAGTGTATGAATCCGTTCGCCAGTTTATAGAGAGAGAGAGCGAGATGGACATAGTGCAAGGGTCAGTTCGGTATGCATTCAGTTTGCAACTGGACACTTTTCGTTGCTTTTAAATCTATTGTGCAATACCGACATGTCATTGATTCGAATTATATTTCTAAATTTTGTTCTATGAAATGAATAAGTATTTGTACTGAGAGTAAAAAAATCTACTAAAGAAAAATGTGTCCAAATAAAATAATGCCATATGTCCATAAATATTTATCTTTCAAAGTTTCTACATTTACAGGATGATTAAATTTTGAATATTACTCTTCCCTCTCTCTAAAATGCTTATAGTTGAACTTTGCGAAGTATTTTCATGTATTTGGTGTTTTTTTTTTAAATTTCCAATGCGTTTTTCCGAAACTATTTTGATGTATTCTACTTTTTTATAAGAGGTGATTCAAACTATTTCAATCCGGATAATTGTTATACAATCTGAAACGAATATGACAAATTTGTTACATCCTGAAGCAGTTTTTATGGATTTCCATGTAATCTGATGTTATTTCTGAGACTCTGATACTTTTGAATGGTCCTAAAGCAAATCAGATTAATTTTGGTGTACTTTCAAGCATTTCGATGCTTTAGCCCAGACATTTTGACGTTTGCACCCAAAGATGCATCCAATAATATTGGACACCTTAAGATATAACAAATTAGGTATTTATCATTAATGCATTTATTACTTTTCTTACCCCCCCGTAATAGTTTAACTAACAAATTGTCTCTTTTTGTGGTGCGTGTTTTGAGATCTGACAACGTCCACCGCGTCTAAACTGATTATAGTTCGACTTTAACTCTTACACTATAAAAAAAATCGGTATGAGTGAAAGCAAATGGGTTCGGAGTGTATCCATTGAGTGAAATTATTGATTACATTTTCAGTCAATATTAGGCATTGTGATAATTTTACACATTTTTAACAATATTCGAACTAAAACTGATAGTTTCACTCATAAAATTTTAGATGTACTCATACCAATAGAGGAAAATTACACTCAACAGAACACTGGACAGAAATTGATACATTATTGAGTGAATATGAGTGAAAAAAAGTCCAATCTTTCTTACAGTGTACAGTAAAATAAAAGGAAAAATTTAGCGATATTCTAACTCCCATTTATGTGGATGGAGGAGTTCCTAGTCGAATTCGCTCGGAACAAACACAACCTCAACAAGTTACCCAACAGAACCCGCCGCGGAAAGCCTCTCTCGTTTGATAAACATTTCTGACACTTTGAAAATGTAAATCCGCTGCCCTCTGCCGCGCCGGGCTTGTTATTACCCGGTACAAAGCTTATACATTAAGTATGTGCACGAAAACACGTATATGAAGATATATTACCGTCATTGTGCCCAGCATTTGAAACTACTGAGGTTTCTGAATTAGCGCTGCCGCCGCTTTGACATAATGGACTCCCAGGTTTACAAGCCGGGACTTCGCTACGTACGGCGGTCATAGTTGTCCAGGAGTTGGGAACTTGCCCGCCTGTGATGCAATTAGAGCTTTGTTTACTGTTTGATGGAGGTGCGACGATCAAAAATAGACAATGACCGAACGTAGCAAGCTTTTACTATTAATGAAACAGCGCACAGGGCGCCCCAGTTTGGATGGAATACACTGAAACTAGCTGTCTCAGTTGGAGACGAGAGTATCATCTCAAAATTCCATATATTCCTGTATTGTCGGAAAATTAGGTGAAAAATGTGATTAATTTAATATTAGAACAGTTTTTAATACAACAACCTTATGGACTTTTAAAAAATATAGTAACAAAAGCCGGGACGCGTAGTAATTGTTAATTCTCGGAACGGATGGGCCAAAAAGTAAAATATTTCAGTCAACTCAAATTATCGAAAGTGAAGTGCTCTCAAATAGGTTAGCGTCGTCCTTCGGAGAAATTTAGCAATATTTTTTGAACAATTTCACTTAGAGTAGGGGCCATGTGACAGTCATCTGTCGCGTCCTGGAGGCGCCAACCTATGCTGGGACGGCATAAAGAGAAAAATCGATATTTTTATTAACGCGTGAAACCACGAGAAGAGCGTAGAGGTTCCAAAGTAGAACTAAATCAAATTTTTAAATTGATAGTAATTGGAAAAGAAAGTAATAGATCAAATAGCTGTTTTTTTTGGCGGATTTTCCGAGCTATAAGGATATATCAAATGAGATCGACTAGTCCATCCCGTATCGCTACACGGAGTCACTAGAGGAAGGCTAGGGTTATTTGTAAGTTTAGTCTCAATATTATTTAGATAAATGTAAAATCAGTTAATTAGATAACTATTAACATGGCATAGTTATGCCAAAGCGTTCCGATATCCAGGGTTCCCGCCAGTAAGATAAGAACAGAATCGTCTGGACCCAAAAAATGGGCGTGTCGAAGCGAAGTGTCGAATTCAGGAGAGATCTACGAAATAAATCAGTTCTTCCTTGGGTTTCACATTGAGCAGTCTACTTAGTTTTAGAGTCTTGGGTTAATTTAATGATGGATAGTCATTCCAAATTTTGCTATGGAGCGCGCATTGATTGAGAAAAGATACTGTAATTGAAACAATCTGGAAATCCACAACAAAACAGTTACCAGAAATGTTTTACGAAAAATATAGAATTAAACTGAATTTGCTCTAGATGCCATGCGAAGAAAATTACATGAAGATTAAATGAGTGAGTATAAAAGAATGATTCAAATTTGGGATGAAGCCCAAATGGTTTGCAGCGCATTTTTTTTTTCATATTGAACATGAATTGGCATAGAAAGGAGGGGAAGGATTTGCTACTCGCATTAAATTTTTCAAATAAACTAATAATCTGGTAGACCTAACAGGTATCATTGAATATAACTTAATCTTCTCTAAAGCCACAGAAGGTGGTTTCAAACAATTGACAATCTGTACAAGAAATTGATAAAAAAAGGATGTCACATTAAAACCGACATATTGTTTTTAACTAAAAATCCAAACAGATTGGAAAAAAATTCGATGGAATGATTCACCGTTTGGAAAGAATATTATATCTTTGTGGCTGAAATCTGCAGCTTCTGAGCACTAAAAAAAATATCAACGAATCATTCTGCAAGAGCAGCTGCTGTCTCAAATTTGGCCAAGTTAGTAGGAGCTAATATCACAGCCACACACAAAAAAGTGTGTCAGAATTGAGCTATCACATCACAGGAATTTCCTAACCTCAAAAAATAAGGTAAAAAATACAAAAATTAACGAAAAAGGGCTAAAGAAAATACAACAAATTTTTTTCTATATTCAAATGTTCATTTATATGGTTAAGACCCCGCCGAACGGGAATCCGCGGTAAGAATTGATGGTTCTTTTTCTGACCTCAAAAAAATGGGTCAGGTATCACAAATTTTCAAAAAATATCATATTCGCGCCAAATTTGGTATACGGAGGTTTTCGGGATCGCTGGTCACGGATCTGATGTCAATTCTGTAAAATTCAAGATGGGGGATCCAAGATGGCTGACCAAATTTTCAAAAATTAACACATTCACGTCAAATTTGGTCTACGGGAGTTTTCATGGTCGCTGATCATGGACTCGAGGTTAATTCTGCAAAATTCGAGATGGCGGATCCAAGATGGCCGACCAAATTTTGGTATACGGGGTTTTCGTGGTCGCTGATTACGAATTCAAGGTCAGAATTGCGAAATTCATTTTATAATATTTTTGTTTACTTTATAATCTGAGTACCTACCCAATAATGTTTTAACCTTCTTTTTTCGGTTACATCTTGTTCTTTTTTCTATAAAAGATCTATTTACGAGTTTTCTGCCTAATCTTAGGTAATAAAGTACATAGGTAATTGTTTAAATTTTTAAAATGAATTTTGTAAATCTGATTTCGGATTCGTGATCAGTGACCCCGAAAACACCCGTATACCAAATTTGGCGTGAATGTGTTATTTTTTGAAAATTTGGTCGGCCATCTTGGATCCGCAATCTTGAATTTTACAAAATTGACCTTGGATCCGTGATCAGCGACCCCAAATTGGCGCGAATCTGTTATGTTATGAAAATTCGTGATATCTGACCTTAATTGATCAGTTTTTCTTGAGGTTAGACAAAAAACCATTAATTCTCACCGCGGATTCACGTTCGTTTTTGTATTTTTCTAGCACTTTTTCGTGAATTTTTGCTATTTTTGATCTGTTTTTTGAGGTTAGGAAATTCCTGTGATGTCATAGCTCAATTCTGACACCGGATTCGTGATCGGGAGGCAAAAATAGTACGGATAACATATGTCGCATGAAGAGTAGAGATAACTTTTTCTTGTGTGTGGCTGTGTATTCAACCAAATAAAAAGTACCAATTATTCAATGGAAAGTTGTTACAATTAGTTATTTTTTTAATTAATAGATTTCTAGGACCAGCGTTTGAAGAAAATCTGGATACAATACTTTATAGAATTTGAACATATCACATTGACTGTCAATGTGAGATGCTGGTTATGCGCACACGAAGGCGCAGTTTCCTTACACATCCTCAGCTGACTTTAATGATAAAAAAGCAGTTACCTAGAAGCGGCATATCTGTTACCTCAGGGTGCAAAGCTAGTGCTTGCCTTCACATACAGCATAAGCTTGTCACAAACTCTCTTTGGCGTCATACACAATAGATTACAAGACCTGAGTGCTGTGTTACGTTTCACAATAGCAACCATTAAATATATTTGAATTAAAACAGGAATCGACTATTATCTAATGGAATACTTACTTGACATTCGTAAGTTCCATTGTCTCTTTTCTGGACGTACTTGATCTGCAGCGTCCAGTCGTCAGAGCCCTCTGCGTGTAGAATCTGGAACCGTTCGTCGTTCGTGTACGTGAAGACCCCTGAGGATAGGATGTGCCAGTCACGTCTCCTGACCCAGGATACTTGCTGGAAAAGAAATAAAAGGTAAGTGACAAATATATGGATGGCGTTACTGTGAATGGTCTAAAACCACTGGCTGTTTCGGATTCTTCCGAAGAAAAGGGTAGCTTTTGAAATATCAACAAATTTAAATAGATGACGTGGCAACCAGCCCAGACATTTTTTACCATCTAGAATGTTATACAGTTAACATTGTATACGTTTTCTATATTTTATGGAGCTGAGCACTACTATACTCCCTTCGCTACTGTAGTTCACCTAACAATCGGAATTTTTTATCCTACCCTCTAGAGACGAGGAAAATTATGATGGTAAAAATTCATCGGCGACTCACTAATGGAGACAAAGGCAGATTCCTTCGGCTGTAAAAGCAATCAACGCGCTATCCACTGAAGACATGAATATTCATGGACCATTCCTATCCCAACTATACTCCGCGTACCTGTCGGCGAAATTAAAAAATAATTTCCGCCGGAAAATTCACGTACTAAACGCCGATTCGAATTAAAATTAAAATTTCAAATTAGCCAGTCCGTAGTCGTTCCCGTTGTGCCAGAAATACGAGGGATGTCATCAGACGGGAGTTATTAGAAAAGAGCGGCTGCAGAAGCTAATAGTACTCTATTTTTCAGCTCTCCCTGCTTTGTAATGCACCTAGTCTACCTGTTGAGAATCTTACAAAAATGCTCTTTGGTTTGGATTTTAACTAACTTTATACTTCTTCGTCTAATTAGATTTGTTCTTTTACAGATAGAGAGAGTGTAAAAAAGACTGCTAGTTGATATTTTTTTAGGTCTCTTGCATGTTGAATTGTTTTACGAATAAACTGAATCTTTGTGTAGGGCTCTTACATTCACTCAGGATATATGATCTTCCCAGTTGCAACCCCAACAAATTTGATTATCTAACAATTTGATGTTGTAAACGACAGAATTCTGTTAAAGCCCTGCGATCTATCTGATTGTGAGTCTGATGTGTCATACTCACCACTCAATTTGTTTTCTTTCGTGAGATAACATCAAATATTTCCTTCGCTTGAGTCTGCTCTGGTGTGGAATCCCTATTTCACTATGTCCTTTATAAGCACATTTCTACGAAGTCTAATCCTAGAAAAAGTGTTTCAGATTCCCGTTTTCCAACATCAGCTTCTTAATATCACCTTTAATGTCTTTAATGTCATGTTGGAGCATTTCAGTTCAATTAGTAACTGAAAACAATCCCAAACAAATTTACAGCATACTTTGAACTTAACGCCTTTATTGTATCCCAAGAATGCTATAGAGAAGGTTCCCAGGCTATGGTTTCTTTGTTAACAGCACGACTTCACCTTCTGTTCTAATTTAGAACTATCCGTAAATCAGACCAAGCTCTATTTTTTTCAGTGCAATGTATATCGACTCTCATTCTTTTCTATTCTCTAGTCGAGTCTTGAAAGGTTCATGGAAGTTGATCTCATTCAATACCCTGGAGTGCCCCTATGAGGGGACATTGTTATTTCTGATGTTGTAAGCTGCCATTCTTATTTCCAAGACTTCCAAAGCAGTTCTTAGATTACACCACAACTCCTGTTACAGTTGAATCTGAAATTGATTTTCACAATGGTCTGTTTCACTCTAAGCAGTACACCACAGCACCATGAGAAGGGCTAGGTCTTACTACCGAGGTCCACATCCAAGCACCTTCTATTTCAGTTCTCAGAATTTACTTATTAAGTACCGACTCGCACATAGTGGCTTTTCTGACGAACTTACCAATCTAGTATCAACCGTAGATACTTGATCTCATTGAAAAAGTTGACGGATTTCCCACGTATTGTAAGAAATTCTCATTAGAACTAGATTTCTTCTACTGGCGAACTTTCAATCCATTTTCAGCTGTAAATGAAATTAGGGTGGAAGCACTTCATCTCACATCTCGTTACAGTGTCGAGAAAATCAAGATCCATGTATCTGTTGGGAAATTTACGCTGATCATCTTTTTGAATGTCAGTGACCCTATCTTTAAGAAACTATAGGTGCTGCTGCCGATACATTAGATATGCTGGACATTCTGAAAACTGGGGAATTGCTATATCCATCGTACTGTCTAAATTTGGGGCCAGACTTTCATTTGTTTGGACCTTCCAAGGACCATTTGGTTTTGGAAGGACATTCACATTTAGACCAAGTGTGTTATGCTTATACAATGAAGTCTAAAGCCTAATTCAGATGTACAATCAATGTTTACATACAAAAGGTTTGATTAAACGTCCCATCCAAAAAGAAAATCATAAGAACATAAACAAAACCAAACGCTAATTAAAATAGTTTTTTTTCTTGATATCTTGATGAAAATTCAGCAACGCTTTTTTGTTTGCTTCTTAACAGTTTAAGCATAGAAGAAGTCTATCCAAAATAGAAAATATTACTAATTATTTATTGGGTTTCAATATACCAATAATATATTACAAAGTGAAGAAGCTGTAGGAATTTTTGCAGGCTACATGTTTTGAATTAGGAAAAATGAAAGACAACATACATCCTGAAGATCTTATGAGCGTTATAAATGTTGATGCAGATTTTTTTTTCGAAACATTAATTGAACACCTTAGTTTATTTATGCCCATACAAAATAAAAAATTTAAAATTGCAATATTCTGAATTTGCTCGTGTTTGTGAACAAAGAGGTAAACACTAGTTTTTGCGAGCAAATGTTTGTATTTAAGACTTATTTTCCATCTTCGATGGAAAACAAAAAAACATTCTTTTGTACAAATGTTTTTACACAAATGTTTGCAAACAGTTTTTGTACATGCGTTTGCATGTTTACGTTAAAAAATATGTAGGTTTGGACTAGGCTTAAACTGAGAAATGGGTATAAAGAATTTGTATACATACTTGTAAATATATTACCAAACAATTCCTGTTACTTAATGACCTCCCCTCGTATTACGCCATTCCTCGTGGCCGGGTTGAATTCCCACCCTCTTTCTCCCCCCTATTTACCGTTTTGTTTCATTATTCAAATTCCGCGATTATAACGTTAGGGGTGATTTATACCTTTTAATAAAAGAAAAAGAATGGCGACACTGCGTCTTGAATATTGAATCTATATTTTATTGTAATTCGATGGCGGCGTGACAGCAGGGTGGGGGACAATAATGAGTCGATTTCCGAAAGAGACCCTGCTGCATGCGAAATCGCCTCGACTTCCTACTGGTGACGAATAAAAAGCTAATATATACCGGGACAAGGCCAGCTTTTTGTAGTGTGCAGGTGTTCATTGATAAAATTTTATCACATCCAATTTGTGCAGATATTCATTAACGTTTCGTTCTTGATCGGGTGTACCATCAGAGAAAACAATTAAAATACAAACTGGAAGAAGAGCAAAAGCGATAAAAACTGATTTTTGCCGCCTCTCAAATTTTTCGTTTCGTCAAAATAGAGGGAAAAAAATACTGATCAAATTTAAACTAAGTAATTAAATAAAATAGCAAATATAGGGAGCTGAATTGGACCAAGTTTGAGGTATGTATATTTCCTTTTTTGTCGATCTGATGCTTAATTTAATTTTTAAGATCAGTAAAATTTATCTTGTTATTTCTCATTACTTAAAATCTACCACCAGCTGTTGTTACATCTGTTGTTACAGCTGCTGTTGTTACATTTGCTGTTACAAGTAATCTTAAAATATAAAAATTAAATACACACTTGTTAGCCACTTAACCCTATACAGGCTGTTAATAAACTTATGTCAAATATTCTTGCCACGTGTCGTTATGTCAAAATGAGGTAAATACATGGATTTGTGTTGAGTATAATTTTAATTGACCCAGGTCTGAATTATCGGTCCAGAGGCTTCTGTATATTTCAGAAATTTATTGATGGCAATATTTTTATGAAAAATCTTATATTATAGTAATCAGAAGCATTTTGCAAATTTATATACTGAGTGTTTCATAAGAATGACACAGGCAGACTAGAATTTTTTTCTCATTTCCCTACGTACTTTCCTACATTATTTATTGAAAAGAAGATGAAGATGACTTCATGATGATTTGATGACGACGATAATATTGATAATTATGAAGTTACGATGTTGATGACTTTCATATACATAGTGTTTATAAACTAAACTACAGGGTGTTTCAAAAACTGTTATATCTACTAACCGGAGAAGAGCATCGCGTACGGCGCGGCCGAGGGCCGAAGGCCCGAGAGAAAGGTCAAACTCCACGTCAGTGTAATTTTAAAATCTGACACCTCAACATTGCAAGGAGCCACCTTTTGAGAACTGCTGAGTTTCATAGAATATGTTCGATGTACAAACCATTTACTTGCATACAAGCTTCAGCGCGACGTATCCAATTCGCTCGTATGCGTTGCAACATTGCCACGTCCTCTTGAATCGTATTACAAGCTTGGGCAATACGATGTCGCAGTTGGTCGATGTTACGAATTTCCGTAGAATACACAACATTTTCACATATCCCCACAAAAAGAAGTCTAAAGGGGTGAGGTCCGGGGACCGGGAAGGTGATCTAACTAGGCTACCGCGGCCTATCCAGCAATCGGGAAAAGTAATGTTTTTCTTTCTTTTTCTCCTCTTTAAATTTTTGACATAAGTTCATTATCACCCTGTAGCATCGTCTGGATATGTATATTTTAATAAGTTTAATGAATCTGAAAAAGTTCAAAACAAAACCAGATACTTTTTGGTGCAAAGACCTCCAAGTCTGGCGTATCTCTACCGTAATTTTATGTAAAAGTAATTTCGTTTAGCGCAACGAATCTCTAATTGGAGTTAATTAAACTAGAAAGGATATTACACGAATTGGACACCGGCAGAAACGTAATGTCTATGTGTATGTATGTACGCGCTTATGTATATTAATTTTTAATAGCTGTTGCATGTAGGTACATGAACAGAACTGCTGGTTTACGCTGTGTAGCAGTGGCGCACGCAAATTTTGTTGTTAGCTACTGGGTAGTTCGCTAGAGGCTGAAGTACTGGAGAGAACACTG